GGGCCGCCCCCACCGGCGCTCGGGCTGCTCGCCCCGCGGCTTCGCGACTCGGGGCCGCCCCCCTTCCTGGCCCGCAGGTGCGGCGCTGCCACCCTCCCCTGCACCGGCGGCCTCACCCCACCTCCCCGCTACCCCGCCGGAATTCGGGGCTCCGGCCTGGGCGGGGCCGAGGGCGGGGCTCCCGCCTCGGGGGCAGGACTCCCGTCGGTGCCCGGGCCCGGGTGCCGCGTCACGAGGAGCCCGGCGGAGCCGGAGAGCACGGGCCTCGGGGCTCCCTACCCCCCACCCCAGGCCTGAGCCGCCGAGGCGGAGCGCCCTCTCCCGCCCGAGAGCCCGCCCCCCACTCCCGGGGCCCCAGGCCCGGCCCCGCCCTGGCGGCTGCGCCCGCCCTGCCCGGACCCGGTTTGTCTGGTTCTCCCCGAGAGGCTTGTTTCTCGAATTTCTCCCTTTCCCCCTCTTCCTGGACCTCCGGGGCCCTCCCTCTCGGCCCGGCTCCCCGGGGCCCCATGGGGGGCGTCTCGACACTGCGCGCCCGCCGAGTTTCGGTAGGACCGGCGCTGGGCGCGGGGGAGGGGCCGCGGGAGCGCCCGGGGCCTGGGCGGCGCGGGTGGGGGCGAGGCCTCCAGCCCGCCCTCGGCGCTCTCCCGCGCTCCGGACCCCTCCCGCCGCCTCGTTCTCCGCACGCGCTGAAGAACCACCGCTCCGCCGGGCCTCGGACGCGGCTTTATTGGGGATGTGGGTACCCGGCCCTCGTCCCTCATCACCTACCCCCCGCCCCGAGCCCGCCCCAGCGCCTCGGAGCCCTAGCACGGTCCCAGAGGGGGTTAAGACAACACTGACTACTGCTCCTGGACAGGAAGTGACTGGGGCGCGGGGCGGGGGCGCGGGCTAGCGCCGCGACCAGATGTGCGGCTCCAACTCCAGATGTTCTTCATCTCCGTCCGACCCGCCGTCTGAGCTCCTCCCCTGCCTCCTGTGCCAGGCTGGGGAGTGGATGGAGGTCACCCGGAGACAGTGAGGGGTCAGCCCCATACGTGGGAGGAGTCTTCCGTGGGCGCTTTGGTGAAGGGACCCTGCAAGCCTCCACTGAGTCCTTTCCCCCACCCTGGCGGGATCTGAGGGCGCTGGGGAGCTGCTAGGGTCACTCGCAGGCCAGCTTCCCGTCAAAACTGGAGAGGGCGATGGCGAAGGCCTGCAGGGCGCACAGCGGGTACCGGTAGTCTAGGGTGAAGGCGTCCTCGGCTACGCGGCCGAACTGCAGCACGATGTAGTCGGCTGTGGACACAGACGGGGCGGGGGTGGCCCGAGACCTGATTTCATCTTCCCTCTATTGGGGAAAGTTCCCCCTCCCTTGATTGTGGCCCAAGTCCTCATCCACATCTCAGTTATTCACCCTCCACCCCCCACTTCTTCTCTCGCTCAACCAGCCCTACCCTGCAGCTTTACCATCCATCCCACAGTAAGCCCCCGAGGGCAGGGACCCTGCCTTATCTTCTGCCGCCCAGGGCTATGCATACGACGGGCACTTAAGTAAAGGAACCTGTCTAACTTCTCCAAGCCTAGAATCCTTTCTTTCCAACGTCTCTATTGTCTTCTGACCCCATTCCTTCTTCTTTCCACCCCCAGACCCCAAGTCCATCTTAGACCACCAGGTTCAATCCCTTGACTAGCCCCCTGGTTCCCTTCCTCCTCCAGTGGCCCCACTCAGCCCCTATCCCATATCTGGTGCAGGTTCCCAGCCCCAATCCCAACACCTCCCCCAGCATCCATAGGGAAAGGAAGTTGCTAAAAATACCCCCAACCTCGGCAGACCGGGCTCCACCAGAAATGTGATCTGGAGAGCAGTTTTCCAAGGCGTGGGGACAGGGGACACTGGGAGCACATCCCTAGGATGGACTGGGGGATGGGGAACTCGCTCATTGTCAACCAACCCTGGGAACCTGGTGTACCTTGGGAGATACCTTTCCATCCCCAAACTTCCTCACCCTAGTGGGGACCTCTCCCCCAGGCTTGTAACGGGGACATTTTTACTTAATTATGTTCCGGGTACATTTTGTTTCCCTAACTCCTTGAGGGCAGGCCTTTGACCTCACTTGAGAGAAGATAATAGAGTAGGCACTCAGAAATGCTGGATTAATATTCCCTACTCCTAAAAGGCAGCCATCTTGAAGGGGTTCGGAGCCAGGGCACTAGAGCCAGACTCCCTGGATTCTAATTCCAGCTCTACCTCTTACTAGCTGTGTGACCTGGGGCAAGTTACTTAACCTCTCTGTGCCTCAGTTTTCTCATCTGCCAAATAGGGACGATAATAGTACCTTCCTCAGAGTGTTGCTGAAAAGATTTAATGATTCAATATCTGTAAAGTCCTGAGAACAGTGCCTGGCACATAGAAAGCACTGTGTAAGTGGTTGTGAAATAAAATTTGGAGGCCAGTGTAACTGCCTGGAAGAGCTGAGAGACTTTGGGTAAGAGGCTGCCCTCTCTGAGCCTCCACACCCTCTCTGGCCACCGAGGGGTTGGCTCTCAGTGGTTTTCAAACTCCAGCAGCTTAACTCCCTTCAACACAGTCTTACCCAGAATACCCCAGTATCTGCTCCAGGGCTCTGGTCAATGCTAGAATGAGGACCTGGAACAACAGGCCCCAACACACCTGCTTGGGGTATCTGAGGCTCCTGGGAGCGCAGTGTCAAGGCCCCTGCAGGAGAGAGTGACCTCGCTGGATGTTCCAGTTCCAGCAATAGAGGACAGCTCCAGGCTAGTGTGTAAGAGAGAGATAAGGTGGGGAAAGGCCTGAGTGAGGCTCGGGGTCCCTGAGGTGGTGTGGAACAGCCTGGTCTGGGCCCTCAGATACTCACGGTCATCGGCGTGGACAATCTGGAAATTCTTGACTGAGGCCTGGGTGACTCGGCCTTGGAAGTTGAGGGTGTAGGAGCCACTGTCTTCGTTCCAGACAGGTGGCTTGTTGTGCAGCTCGATGAGGCTCTCCAGGGTCTTGTTCTGCCAGCGCACCAGCAGCCCATCGCTGGCCTGGGAGCCGGGGGGGTATTAGAGGACAGTTAGGGGAGGCCAAGAGATCTCAGGACTGACAGGGGACGGGGCCTGGGGACCTATGCGTGCCCTTGTGTGTATTTGCAGGTGTGCAGCCTGGATGTCAGCATCCATTCAAGGTATCCTTGAGAGCATGCTCCGTCTCCTAGGTGTCCCTGTAGGTGGCGTGTACATCTGCGAGAATGGGGCTTTGCTGTGGGATGCCAAAGTGGAGGGTTGGAAAATGGACAGTAGCATCTGGCACATGCCGTTGGTACCCAAGGGGTCTTAGGAATGCCCACATGCTGGCAGCTGATTCCAAGGGTGAACCAGACATTCTAGGACCTACAAGGAGCTCACAGTTGAGCTTGGGGAGATGGACAGGTAAACAGTGGTTAAAATAAAATGCCCTGGATGAGAGCTTCTGGAAGGAAGAAGCAGTGTCTGTCTGATGGTGCTCTTAAGATATTTCTTTCCTCAGTTTCCTTGTCACCTGTTCATGGCTTAGAGTGAGTCCACTCAGGATCATGTCCTCCAAGAAGCCTTCCTGACCTCGCGTCTCATTTGGATGCCTTAGCTCTGAGCTTCCATGACACCTTGCTCCTACCATTCCTCCCACTGCACTGTGACGCACAGAATTAGATATACCAAGGGCAGGCACAGAATTTTAGTAACATCTCTATGCCTCAGTTTCCCTCATCACAAGGTGTTGTGAGGATTAAATAAATTAACAGCACCTGAAGTGTTATTTAGATCAGTTCCTGGCACCAAGTAAATGCTCAATGAATATAAGATATTGTTTTGTTTTTGTTTTCTTTTGTGAGGAAGATCAGCCCTGTGCTAACATCTGCCAGTCCTCCTCTTTTTTTGCTGAGGAAGACTGGCCCTGGGCTAACATCCGTGCCCATCTTCCTCCACTTTATATGGGACGCCGCCACAGCATGGCTTGCCAAGCAGTGTGTCGGTGCATGCCCGGGATCCGAACCAGTGAACCCCGGGCCGCTGCAGCGGAGCACGCGCACTTAACCGCTTGCGCCACTGGGCCGGCCCCCAGATATTGTTTTGACGGTAACCGTTGTGTTGATTTTGGATCTTCGGTGCCTGGCTTTAACAAATTATTGTAGAATGAATGACCTGTGAGATGATGAAGAGAGACCCAAAGCAGCACCAGGTAGTTCTTACTAAGCCCAAACATGCATGGGAGGCACTGCCTCTGGAGGGTTTGTGTGTTTATTCCAGGCACAGAAGGAGCAACTGTGGGACCCACAGGCTCTTCCAGACCAGAGCCTCCAATGGCTGGTGCCCCACGGGTTGGCTGGGCCTCTGATTATGGTGTGACTTTCCAGCAGGGAAGGATGTGTGATCAGCTGACAGGGGTATTATTTTTCATTGTAAATGAGTAAAGTGACATCACTGTGCGTATGGGGCATGCCAGTCATGAAATCTTGGGCTCAACTGGCCTGCAGAACTAAGGAGCAGAGCACTGGACTGACACTCTGAAGGAGGCCACCTCTCTCCAGGACATCTCTTCATCTTACCCTACACCTACACACACACACACACAACAAACAACCTTTGCTTTGGAAAATATAAGTCAAATCATGTCACTCCCTTGCTTAGAATCCTGCTATGGCATTCTGTTTCTGTCCGAGTAAAAACCAGTTATACAGGCTCTATCTGCCCCTCACTCTCACCTCTCTGACCTCATCTCCCTCCAGCCACACTGGCCACCTTGCTGTTCCTCAACCCCACCAGGCACCCTGCTGCCTCAGGGCCTTTGCACTGGATCTTCCCTCTGCCTGGATGGTCTTTCCCCGGATATCTGCAGGCTTGCTCCCTCACCTCCTTCAAGTCTTTGCTCAAATTTCACTTTTTCAATGAGGCCCACTCTGACACTGTATTTAATATTGAAACACACACACACACACACACACACACGCACGCACACTTCTCATCTTCCCTCCCTGTTTGACGTTTTCTTTTTTTCTGTAGCACTTATCACCTCCTAACACACTACATCATTTACTTATTTTTCACAGTTATTGTCTACTGTCTTGCTCCACCAGAATGCCAGGAGGGCAGATCTTTGTTGTCCACTGATATCTTCCAGGTGCCTAGAATAACACTTGGCACTCAATATGTACTTGCTTCAGTGAATTCAGTTACAAAACCCCCAAATTCATTCTACAAGTTGCCAGAATGAATTTGTGCCAGAGGATGATGAGTCTGTTCAGGGGGTTGGGTGTTGGGAAGTGGAGGCCCCACCTCCAGCTTCCTCGGAGTGGGTCACGCCGGGAGCAGGACCCTGGGGCAGAGGGGTCAGGCGGGTGCAGGGCTCACGTTTCGGGGCCGGATGGGGACCCTCTGGTTGTCCGCATTCATGCCGGGAATGATGACGGTCATGCGCCGGGGACCTCGGAAGCCCAGCACGTTGGTTTCCTGAGAGGGAGATGCGCGTTAGGCCGCCCCCTGCGAGGGGAGGGGCCTGCCGCGGGGACCGGGGTAGTTCTCACGTAGATCACGGCTGCCAGCTCCTGCCGGAGGCTCCCCACGTCAGCGCTGCCTCCGCGGTGCTGCGGGTTCTGCCCGTTGTCGAAGACGGTGAAACGGTTCCCCAGGAGGTTGGACCTGCAAGCAGGGCGGCGCTGGGGGTGGGGCGGAGGGGATTCTACACCCCTGCTCCGAGACCCTTCCTCACAGCCACAGTTCTGAGAGCTTCCTCCATCAACGGTGGGGTGTCTTAGGACAGAGCAGTTCATGTCCCCTGCCCCTGGCTTCTCCCATGAGGTCTTGAAAAAAGCTGGATCTAGAAGGAGACTGGCAGCGCTCACATCTCCTCTCCATCTCTTACTAGCTGTGTGACCTTAGGCAAGTTGCTTAAACTGCCTGAGCCTCAACTTCCCCCTCTGTAAAATGGGCATAATAGCAATATTTACCTCATTTGGTTGATAAGAGGATTAAATGGGTTAATATTTGGAAGTTACTTAGAACTATGCCTGACAAATAGGTAGGCCTTATATAAGTGTTTGTTAAATACATACATAAAAGAAATAAGGCCTGACTCAGGTTCACCTCTCCCCACCTCTCAGAGGTGTGGTACGGATTAGATGAGATATATAGGGAGACACAGCACAGGGTAGGTACCGTTCATTCATTCACTTAGTAAATATTTATTGAGTAGTTACTATGTGCCAGGTGCTAGGAATTCGACCATGAAAAAGACAGGCACAGGCCCTGCCCACGTGAAGCCTATGCCCTCCTCCAAGTGAGGTCCCTGGACCTGTAGGGTGCGCATCCCCTGGGTGCTTGTTAGAATGCAGCATCCTATCCCCACCCCCACTCCCCACCCACCCCCACCCCCAGCCCCAGACCCACTGAACCATTTTAACAAGATCCCCAAGTGATCCAGATAAAAGTGTAAGAAGCCCCGGGCTAGGGCACATCCCGAGAGTCCAATGTGATGGGCCATGGCCCATGGCCCTCTTGCTGCCCCCAGCCTCCCAGCCCCACCTCAGCTTCCCGATGAAATTCTCCCCTCCTCGGGACAGATTGGTGGGGTCACTGGAGATGAGGTAATTGGCTGTCTTGCTCCGTTTCCGTTTCCTACCAGCCAGGAGGAACACCTGGGCAGAGGTGGAGACAGGTGAGAGGATGGGAAGATGGGGTGGGTGAGGGGAAGGGAAGGCCTGTTTGCCTTGTAGCCCCGCCATCTTGGCCCTAGACCCTCCCTCAGCCCGGGTCCTGGCACCTTCACTCTCCCTCTCCCTCCCCCTCCCCCTCTCCCCTACCCACCTTCTTCTTCTCCGTGTCCAGGTGCAGGAAGTAGGAGGGATACAGGCCCCGATCCATACCCTTCTTGTCCCGGGTCAGCCGGCAGCGCACTGTCCGGCCCTGGGGGGCAGGCTGAAGCACGAATTCCCGGGGTTCATCCACTTCCACGGGTGGGGACGGGGCCCTCTCCTCCTTCTGGGTGGGGCAGAGGGGGCATCAGCCCCAGAGCGCTGGTCCCCCTGCCCTCAGCAGGTCCCCAGTGCTGGGACAGGCAGGGCAGGCAGTACCACTCACCGCTTTCTGTGTGGGGAGAGAGCAGAGAATCAGCGAGAGTGCGGCCGGGCGCCTCCCGCGCCTCCAGCAGCGCAGCAGGCCCTTAGGAGGCCGTGGGGCTGGAGCTGCCCCATGGCCTAGCAGCTAAGCGCGCTCCGCTTTGGCGGCCCGGATCCTGGGCGCACACCGACGCACCGCTTGTCAAGTCACGCTGTGGTAGTGTCTCATATAAAATAGAGGAAGATGGGCAGGGACGTTAGCCCAGGGCCAGTCTTCCTCAGCAAAAAGAGGAGGATTGGCATCAGATGTTAGCTCAGGGCTAATCTTCCTCACACAAAAAAAGCAGGCTATAGGGGGCTTTGCATTTTATTATCATTTTCTTTAGCTTGTGTTTAAGAGCTTGGGCTCTAGAGCCAGACAGCCTGGGTTCAAATCCTGGTTTTACCGTTAACTGTCAAGTTTGTTAAGTGTTAACCCTGCTGTGACTCAGTTTTTACATCTGAGAAGTAGGTAGGGTGGGGGTGGATCCCTGGGACAGACCTTACTTAATTTATACATTTAACAAACACTCATACAGAGTCTACCAATATGCCAGATACAGTTCTAAGCACTTTCCAGATATTAACTCATTTGATCCTCTTATCCATATCTGCTGAGGTGGTGGTCCCATTTCACAGATGAAGAAGCTGAGGCTCAGGGAGGTTAAGTAACTTGCCTAAGTTCACATAGCTAGTAAGAGGTGGATGCTGCCCAGTCTCCTGTTAGATCCAGAGCCTTTAGAAAGACCTTCCTCCATGTGGACACACTCTCAGCGGGTGAACTGAGGGAGGCTGAGGTGTGGATTGCTGTGTTCTATGCACATAGCACTACAGGAGTGTTGGCTACTACTGTTATTATGAGCATAGAGTAGACACTCAGTGGATGGAGTAGCCAGCCTCCAAGATGGCCCCCACGACCCCTGCCTCCTGGTATTTATGCCCTTGTGTGGTCCCCTCCCACATTGTCTCAGGGTTGGTCTTTGTGACAATCAAATGTGGCAGGAATGCAACTAGAAGCATGTACAACTATGACATACAACTGTATGGGGGGGTCACTTCTAAGGCTGGGTCATAAAAGATACTGTGGCTTCTCCTTGCTCTCTCTCTTGGGCCACTCCTGGGCTCGGGGGAAGTAGGCTGCCATGTCATAAGAAGAGTCAAGCAGCCCTATGGAGAGGCCTCCAGCCAACAACCATGAGAGTGAGCCATTTTAGAAGCAGCTCCTCCATTTCTGGTCAAGCTTTCAGAATGACTGCTGCCCCGGCTGCTATCTTTTTATTTTTTGGTGAGGAAGACTCGCCCTGAGCTAACATCTGTTGCCAATCTTCCTCTTTTTTAGCGTGAGGAAGATCAGCCCTGAGCTAACATCTTTGCCAGTCTTCCTCTATTTTGTATGTGGGACGCCACAGCATGGCTGACGAGTGGTGTAGGTCCGCGCCCAGGATCCGAACCTGCTAACCCCAGGCTGCCAAAGCGGAGCACGCTGAACTTAACCACTACCCCACTGGGACAGCCCCCCAGCTGCCATCTTGACTGCAGCCTCATGGGAGACCCTGAGCCAGAACCAGCCTGCTAAGCCACTCCTAGATTTCTGACTCACAAAAGTTAAAAAAATAAATGTTGTTTTAAGACACTAAGTTTTGAGGTGGTTTGTTATACAGCAACACGTAGTTAATAGAATGAATGAATAAATAAGCTCATTTTGCTCATGGAAAAACTCCTAATAACAATTTGGTTGCATTAGGCCCTGGGGTGGCCTGGCCTGGCCTGGTGACCCTATAACTGCCCCTTCTGTTCTCACAAACCTGGTGCCCTTTGCCCTCATGTTCTATCCCTCTCAAGAGAGGCAGCCAAGATTCTAACCCCAACCTTCCCAACAGGAGAGAGAAGGGACTGCCAGCCTGGGTGTGTGCATTTGAAGATTAAATGCTATTTGCGAACCACTAAGAGGCCCTGATGTGCTGTGGTTGGCCATTTTTGCCGAGGGCAGGGTGAGGCTGCTGTGGTTGGCCATTTTTGCTGAGGGCAGGGTGAGGCTGGTGTTGGGGAGTGGGCCTTTAGCCTGCGGGCAAGTGAGCATCTCTTCTCCACCCTAGGCTGTTCCAGGAGAAACTTGGGAAACACAAGACTATGTTTGGAATGTGATGTGGAGAAAGCCAGAGCTTAGTCAAACATTTCTGCAGCTGTGAATTCAAGGGCCTACTGTATTGAAGGCTGGACTGCGGTTCTAGTCCTCCTGGGAGATAATAAACTGGTCTTTCAGTTTATACATCAGTATCTGGTGATCTCGGCTAATGTGAATCCGTCCCCCGAGACCTGACCACTCCTGAACAAACTAATAAACCCACACAGCTAAGACCCCGGTTCTGCCCTCATGGTGATCTCTCCACTCGTGGAAACCAGTTTCTCAAAGACTATCATCACTTTCTCTCTTTGGTTGGACCTCTCTCTCCCGCTTAATCATTTGTGCATGTTGGTGCCTGAGTCCTGTTTGTGAGTAAGAGTGATATTCAAAATATTTCACAACCTGTTCTGTCCATGGAGAATGCCCAGTCAGAATGGACACTGGTAGGTCTGGAGGAGGGTCCTAAAGGCCCCTGACAGCCAGTGTTCACCCTTTAGTTGCTGGAAGGTTGGGAGGTCCAGGGGCGGGTAGCAGAAAGCACTTGGGGGGCTCAGAGAAGTGGGGTGGAAATATTTTAACAACGTGTACAGCTGGCTGTCGGTCAGCCAGTGTGTGCCCAAGGGCATGTACACATGTGCCTGTGCCTGTGTGGACTCCCTGCTACAGAGAACGCGTCTGTCTTCATGTGGGCGCCCTGTGAGCCCCGCTGGCTGTGTCTGAGGGTTAGGCTGCCGAGGGGAGGGCTTAGAGACCAGATGACAAAGGCCCCCAGGTGGCCAGTCCCAGCCTGGTGACCCCACAACTGCCTCTGTTCTCACAAGTCCAGTGCCTTGTGTCCTCATATCCTGTCACCAGAGGGGGAGCCAAGATTCTAACCCCAAGGGACTCCCCGGCCTTAGCTCACAAGGTCCCACACTCTAGTCCCCCAAGCCCAGGCTCCTGTCACTGCCCCCTGAAGGGACCTCAGCCCCCTTCCCCTCAGGGCCCCAACCTTTTTGCCTTTTCCTTTCGCTTTGCCTTTCTGATTGCTGTTCCTGGTCACCACCTCTTCCTCCTCTTCCTCTTCCTCCTTCCTCTCTTCTGAGGCTTTGGGAGTGCCTGGGCATGGAAGGAAAGAAGCCTGTAACCCCTTACCTGATGCAGTACTTCATGGTTTGCAGAGTGCTTCCAACACCCATGTCTCACTTGGACCCTTCCCACAACCACAGGAGAGTAACCCTGTATCACTATTATCAGAGCCTCAGACAGGCTAAGACACTTGCCTGAGGCCACATAGCTATTAAAGTGGGCGTCAAGATGCCCCCCAAGTCTTCTGACTCTAAAACTCACGCTCCTTACCCTACACTGCACCCCAGCTCCCCACCCACTGGACTGCCTCGGATGTCACAGCACCAGAGGCCACTGCCACCCACCTTTCTTCTTCAGAGTTTTCTCAGCTGGAACATCTTCCCCAACCAGGAACATGGCTGCTGGGATCTTCTTCCTCACTCTGGCCGGGCTCCCTGAGGGGTCCTTGTGAGCTTCCCCAGACCCTGTGTGTGTATATGTGAAGGGGTCACAGCCCCCACCACAGCCAGAGGCTCCTGTTCCTCCAGAGCCCAGTCTCACCTTTCTTCTTCGTCTTTCTCGTCTTGGTCCCTTCCCCCGCTGGTGCCTCCTTCTTCTTAATGCGCAGAGGTTTCAGTGGGGGGACCAGGCTTCCCAGGTCCCCTGGAAATGGAGGGTGGGGTTAGACAACAGAGGACCTGTTGGGGCTGAAGGCCACCTTCCAATCTACTCATGGTTCCTTCACTCCCCAGGGAGGCTGAAGGCCTGACTTCTGCTCCTCTTGTTTTTAACCCTGAGTCCAAAACTGGACAGACAGCAAGAGCTTAATAAGCAGTTACCAAATGATGAATGAATGAATGAATGCATGAATGAATGAATGCCACGCCTTCTCACCAAGCCTCTGAATCCCAGCTCCCACCCCATCTCCCCCAGAAAACCTCCTCTGGCCATTGCTACAGACAGCGCTCTCTCCCTCCCGCAGACGCCTGAGGTCCACCTTCAGAGCAGACTGCTGGTACCTGCAGGGCGAGGTGCCCAGGCCAGGGAGCCATCACAGCATTTACTTGTTGATTGATTTTTACTGTAATCACTTTGATGCTTTTGTAAAAATTATAACAATAATTCATATTGAGTTTAAAAAAAAACTAAACAAAAATCACAAAGAAAACTCAAATCCTCTGCCCTCCCCTGGCCCCCCGAGCACTCTGGGCAGGGGGCCGTGGGAGTGGTGAGGGGAGCACATATTGGTCTGTGTCCTTGAGGACCATCAGGGGGAAGAAACCACAGAGGAAGAAATGCTCCGGTGTGGGCACTGAGTGACTTTCTGATGGCTCAACTCCCGCATACCAGCAAGACCCCAGCCCCTCAAGGGCAGGGCGAGTCGTGCATGTCTCTGTGCTCCCTGTGTACCCTCGACACCCACCGTTCGGGCCCTGGGCCTTTGCCCTCCTCTCCTTGATGTCTGCAGAAGCCTTCTCTTTAGGGGGTTTCTTGGGGGCCTGAGGGCTTTTCTCTTTCTTTCCCTCCTCCTCTTCATCTTCATCGTCCTCCTCTTCTTCCCCCTCGTTGTCTGTAGGTAGAAACTCTTCATAATGGGGGCTGTGGTAGGCCCCCCTTATCCGGGGAGCCTAGTGCCTCGATTGCTGAGAAGTGGTAAATCGCACCAGGGGTAGAAGACTCCCCTTTCGGGACACGAACGGGAGGAGGGAGTCCCAGCATCTTCCTCACAGAAAGGGGGTGACCCCAAAGTCTTCGGGGTCTACAGTCAGGAGAGTGAGCTGGAGTCGGGGACTGCTGGGGCCCGGCAGTCCGGCGTTCTGGGAAGACGCCCTCCTCTGCAGGCCCTTCCCCTCTCTGTCTGGGACCCCCAGCTCCTCACACACTCTGCCCTCCCCGCCCCCTCTCAGAGACGCCTTTGCTGTTTCTCCCGCTTGGCTTCTCCCTGTCCTTGTCTGTCTCTGTTTCTGACCCTGAGCGGGACCCGTCTGGGCTACCTCTGGCCCCTAGCTGTAGTTAAAGGCAAAACTCTTAAACTGTGTGCCTCAGTTTCCCCATCTGGAAAAAGGGGGAAAGAACAAGAGAATAAAGGTTTTTGTGGCCCAAAGGCAAGGCCAGGGAAGCGGAGGCTGTTCTGTTTTCCGCCTCTCCGCCTGCGGTTCCCGTCCAGCCCCCTCCCTCCTTCTGTCCACCCCGCCCTTCCCTCGGGCCCTCACCGCGCTCCGCGTCCGGCGCTTGGGCCACGAGGAAGGTTTGCCGGGGGTCGCGCTTCTTGGCCTCGGGGTCCCTGAGGAACCTGGTGTAGACGGTCTGCGGCGCGCAGGCCTCGGCCGACCCCGGGGCGGGCTCCTCCCGCGGCCTCCCCCTCCGCCCGGCTGGGCCGAGATGCGCGGGTCAGGGAGGACCCCGCCCCGATCCTCTCCCACCTGGGGCTCCTCTCCCGGGGGTCTCCCCTGGGCCCTGCTTCCCTCTTCGACACCCCCCCCCCGGCTTTCATCCATCCCTCCACAGCCCCCGCCCCCCCCACCCCTGCCCTGGGCGACCCCGCTCCCACCCCCGCCAGGTCCCCCTTCCCCGTCCCCTAGGGAGGGCTCCATGGCTCCACCCCGCGCCCCTCACCCGGGGGGGCGCCCCCGGGCTCGGCACCCCGCCCGCCTCCAGGTCTGCGGGGCTTGGATCCCGTGGGGCAGGGGGACTCAGGGGCCTCCGTCCTCTTCTTCCTCAACTTCTGTCCCCGGGCGGGTCGCTGCAGAGTTGGGGGTAGAGAGGAAGGAAAGGGGGGCCCTGAGGGCTGCCCGTCACCCCCTAATCCCTTGAGCCGCCAGAAATAACCACGGATTATCGGGAGGGGAACTGCAGCCTCCCGGGGGTGAGGAAGGCCCCCTCCCACGCATCATGACCACCTCCAATGCCCCAAAGCCCAAATTCCTCCTCTGGGCACCCCATCCCCCAAATACCTCTTTCCTCCAAAAATACTCCAGGGAAGCAACCCCCAGACGCTGCTGAGGGGGACCCGCCCCACTCCCAGATCCCCTACCCTACGTGGGCTTATGGTGGGGGCATCCTTCTACCTCCTTTCCAAGCAGGGGTGACATACCTGCTTGGGGCGCCGCTGGACCTCCGGGCTCCCGCCTTCCTCCTCATGCCCGCTGAGGGTGCAAAGGAATCAGTCTGTCTCCTTCCCCTTTTCCTGTCCCCCAACCCCTCCATCTGGGCCCCCCAGGGTTCAGGTAGGGAGGGGGGGCCTTCCGGACCTGTCGGAGGCCCACACCTCTCGGAGGGTGTTGTCCTGCAGCGGCATGGTGCGTGCGTCTACCCACACCCCTTCTCCGGCCACCCTGCAGCTCGGAGCCTCCCTGCCGCCCAGCTAATCCGGGCTCAACTTCACCCCCACCTCCCGGGGCTCAGGAGGGGAGAGGCCCCGCAGCCCTGTGGGAGCGCTCCACCCCACGACCCCCGCCCCCACCAGGCCCGCCGACCGAGCGAAGAGGCTGAACTCCCAAGTTCTCCTCAGACCCCCAGTACTGAAGGATGGCATCACTGGACCAGCCACCCCCCAGCTTCCCGTTAGAGGTGCTGATTTGTAGCTTGTCAGTGGTCAATGGGGTGTGGGAGGAAATATTAGATCAGATCCTGTATTTATCTTTATTTTTTACAAAAGAAAGAACTAGGATTTAGTAATATTTAATATATACGGATTGACAGAATCACGTGTATACACTTTATAAAGAGATATGTCTATATTGAGGGTATATACTTAAAAATTTTTTACTGATGGGGAACATGCTTTTTTAAAAGTTTAGAGACCAAGGATATAGTAGTGTTGGTGTGATGAATATCAGGGGAGAGGTTTGCTGAGGAGGCCCAGAGAACAGGCCCCATCAGGGGTTGTGGAGGCTTCCTGAAGCCTGATCTAAAACTTGAAAGATGAGTAGGAGTTCTACAAGCAAAGAAAAAAAAAAAAAGATGTGTTGGGTACCTGGAAAGGGGACAGCAAGATAAAGGCCTAGAGGTTGGAAATAGCCAGGTGTGTTCAGAGGTCCAACACCAGCAGGGAGGCAGTCATCTCAGGCCTGGGTCAGCCCTGAGCCCACGCCCTGAGCTTTGCCACTTAAAGATCTGAACGTCCTTGAGTGACCTAGCCTGTCTGGGCCTCTATTTTCCCATTTATAAAATGGGTTTGATAATAGTACCAACTCGGTAGGGATATTGTGCAGATTAAATGAGATGACAGGTAGAATGCTGCATACAGTGAGCTCTCAATAATTGGTAATTATATGCCCCTTTTCAGAGCACTTCCACTTAATTTGTGTCGCCTCAGCATTTACAACACAACTTGACATGTAAGTGGGGTTCATTTTTTGAATGAGTGAATTAATGAGTGCATTCTTTATTTCATTTGATTCTCACAAGAGGCCAATGAGACAGGCGGGGTAGGGATTATTATCTGTTTTATAGGTGGAGAAACTGAGGCTCAGGGAGGTGGAGTGACTTGTTCAGTGTCAGCCAGATCGTAATGTTGCTGAGCCGGGGCTTGAATCCAGATCTGTCTCCTGTCAGAATTTTTGCCCCTAACCCGTGCGTATTTTATACAATCACAAGGATTAGAAACGGAGTCCGAATGAAAGGCTCAGGCTTTCTGTCTTTCTTCACTTCCTCGGTCCACTTGATCCACATTTGCCGTAATTAATCTTTCTAAAATACCACTTCTTCAGTTGCCACCCTTGCTCAAAAACATTCATTGGCTCCCTACTACTTCAAGATCAAGTTTAAAGGTGCTGGGTTGGCATTTAAGGCTCTCCCTGATCTAGCCCCAAAAGTAGAATGCTACTCTTCATCTAGCCACATAGGTTTACTTACCGCCTTTATACTTTCTCTCCTCCATGCCTTTGCTCAAGGTGTTCCCTCCTGGAATGCCCTCCCTATTCTGCAAAACCTATGCAACTCTAACCAGTGCTCAAGTCCCCACCTCCGAGGTTCCTCAGTCCTCATCTGCCTCTGAATGTGTGATAATAGTAATAGCATTTATTGACCACCTACTGTGTGCCAGGTTCTTTGCTCCCATTCTCTCTCCACCCTCGCAATATTTGTGAAACAGACATTAACACCTTGATATTAAAGGTGAGGAAACTCGTAGCTGAGAGTTGGTGGACAAATATTTCCTGGGCACTGACTATGTGCCAAATAGTATGCTAAGCACTGGTCATATAGTAATGGACAGAGAGGTGTGGTCCCTGCCCTCATGGAGCTTACGTTCTTGTGAAAAAGACAGATAGTAAAGACATAAATCTACTCATTAGTTATAATGATCTCATTATTATTAATTATAATAAATGCCCAGAAGGAAAGAACTGGCTTCCATGAGAATAGCAGATGGGGTCAGTCTGGATTTAGATAACAGACAAGGCTGTCTGATAAGGGAATTTTTTTTTTTTTTTAAAGATTTTATTTATTCATTTTTTCCCCCCCAAAGCCCCAGTAGATAGCTGTATGTCATAGGTTCACATCCTTCTAGTTGCTGCTGGCGGCCCAGGGTTCGGATCCTGGGCGTGCACCGACGTACCGCTTCTCCGGCCATGCTGAGGCCGCGTCCCACGTATAGCACCTAGAAGGATGTGCAGCTATGACATACAACTATCTACTGGGGCTTTGGAGGGAAAAATAAAAATAAATAAAATCTTAAAAAAAAAAAAGATAAATTCATTTCTCAGATCTTTCCTCTCAGGTTGCATGGATGTGATAGATACTTGCATGACAAAATGTCCATTTTCTTGCTTCTTTTATGTTATGAAGGGTGTCATGAATTAGCACGGTATTCATAACAGTTGCACACAGCAGCTGAGGAACATTTTGTAATGTTAAACGATTCCTATGACTATTAAATTTGTATATATGTAGGTCTGGACACAACATGTGAAACCTTATAGCAGTTCTTCATATTGGCAACCAGTGGGACGTTGGATGCTGTTTTGGGAACAATTCTGTTTTTCTAAAAATATTTAATGAGATGGAATTAAAAATTTCAAAACCATTTAAATTTGATTAAATTTTTGCTATTTATTAATTATAAACTATATTTGCCTTTAAATTTTAACACATGCTTTCAAATATATTAGAAGAAAAGTCACTTTTGAAAACGTGAAAAATGATTTTAATTAAAAGCTTTTTTTAACATTTACTATAGTTACTTTTGAGGAGAACATATTCAAATTTTGTATACTTTGAATGCAATTACATTTTTTTAAATCCTTTGAGAATTAGTGCAGGTCCAGATCATGATAGGAACAGAAGGTAGCAAAGCGGAACTAAGAAAAGAACAAAAAGAAACTTCAGGGTTTTGGTGAGGCTAGCTTGGTGAGCATGTGTGGGGAACTGAGAGGCAGTGTAATGTTCAGATTTGGGTCAGGGATGGATTAAGGACTAGGCATCAAGATTTTGGCTAAAATGAGGGTCAGTTTAGGGATAAGATTCAGCTCAGGAACACGGACAACCTCTGTATCTTCTGGTCTGACACCAGAACACCAGGCCTCTCCACAAAGAAAAACAGGCTGGAGGCTCTATAATTACACTTTGTTTTGGTTTAAAAATGACATTTCTCAGCCTGATCACTGGCATTAGTCACCAGATTAAATTCCACATGAATGTTAGCTGTTTTCTAAAATTAAATCCACTTTCAGAAGACAAAGATTTGCTACCAACAACGACCATGATGCTGATAAATATTGACTCCTACCACGTGCCAGGCACTGCGCCCAGGGCTTTCAAACCATCCCCACAGCACCCGTCCTCTCAGTACTGATCCCCACAGCCCCCATCCTCACAGCGCCCATCCTCTCAACACCCATTCTCACAGCACCCGTCCTCATAGCGCCCTTGCACGTCTGCTGCTCAGAGGAGGTAAGTGACTTGGGGCCATACCGCTGACCATTGACCTGCTATGTGCCTGGTGTTGACTGTGTCATCTCAACTCCCTGTGGAAACTTCGAAAGGCAGGAGGGCACATTACTGCCCCTCTCTCTGCCTCCCTTCTCTAGCCGGTTAAGCGGTGGTGAGGTAACAATCCACCTGACTTTATGGGAGTTGTGAGAATTAAGTGCTTGACACATGTAAGTGCTTGGCCCAGTGCCTGGCACAGAGCAGGTGTCCCGTCAATGTGGGCTGCATGTCCCCTTTCCCTTCATTTCACAGAAAAGGAAACGGAGGCCCAAGTCCCTCAGGGACTCAGACCTGGGTCTCCATGTGGTGCAGAGGCAAGAGGAGGGACTTTGGAGAGAGTCTGAAGCAGTGGTTAAGAACTAGAGATTTCGTCCAGAAACAGACTCAAGGGTCCTGCTTCACCACGTCCCAGCTGGGTGACCTCGGGCAAGCTGTCCACTTGCTGGGAGCCTCTTGCCCTGAACTTCAGTTTCTCCATCTGGCAAAATAAATATGTGTCACAAAACGATCTGTTTAGGTAGGCTTAGCAGAAACCTGGGCACTCCGCTGCCTGAAGGTGTGTCCAGGCTCTGGCAAAATAGAAGACAGATCTGAGCTTTGAGATGGCCGGTTTCTGTCGGCTTTATTTTGTTGAGATTGTTCGGGGCTTCTTTCATCCATCAAGGTTCTGTTGGTGTCACACGCCCCTGACAGACTGTTCTACAAGGACATTTCTCTCAGTGACCCATAGACTCGCAGCATCTTATCCTCGCTTCTGGGATGAGAAAACAGAGGCTCAGAAGGTCAAGCCGCTGTCCAGGGTCTCACGGTGGGCAGGGAGCGAGCAGGAGTCAGGCCAGCATCTGAGTCCAGAGCCCGGGACGGCGCCACGCTGGCCCACAGAGGGGCCTCTCCGCTGTATGCTGAAGGCAGCCCTGGTGGCTGCTGGGCGCTGGCTGCAGGAGCTGAAAATGGGATTCCAGCCCAGTTCTGACCCTCATGGAGCTCACGGCCTGGGAGACGAGGGTTGGTTGTGGGGGCATGGATGTCCCCTGTAGAAAGTAGAATGTGACAAATGATACTATTGCCAGCCCTCATGGCTTTTCACAGAATCCATGTGAATCCGAGCTGGAAGGGCCCTATGGTCATGCAGTGTGGTCTCCAGCAGAGTCAGGAACCCTCTTATACATACAGTCCCCAGCCTCTGCTTACACACCTCCAGGTACAGGCTGCTCACTGCCTTTTGAAGCCACCACCCTACACAGGGACAGGAGAACAGATCTGTTTCTGCCAGTCAGCCACATGGACGGGGCAGGAGACCCATCAAAGGAAGGGACAGACTGACACAAGAGACGGATGAGGGCTGGAGCCAGAGGGATGGACGGTAGGGCAGCCAGGCTGCTGTGGCATAGAACGAGGGCTCACTCAATAACTGT